ACTCATAAAAAAACCGCTAAAAATACCCTAAAAACACTTTCTTTTTCACTTTTCTGATGCTTATAACTTTATAAGAAAACATCATGGAGAACTGGGCAACCCCTCATTTTGCTCAGAATTGTTTGCTCTTTCGGATGACTATATTTTGAAATGTTTTTCTCAAGTGCCAGAGGTACTTGATTTTGGAGCACTTCGGTTTTGTGTAAAACTTTCTAAGGAAAGTTTTTTTGGGGATATTGATCTATACTGTTTTCGATAGAAAACTTCAAGGGCTATCAAAATCACTATTTAGATTTGATCTAACTATTCGTCTTCATTGAAAAATTTCAACGACAAAAAGGGGACTATAATTTTGTTATATCCTGTATATGAGAAAAACTCTTAAAAATTCTTCTAATTCTCAATGTCTAAAAAGTCTATCGACGACCTACATACATATGTGCCTCCCTAGCCTATTTGGCAAGTTGTTGCTCTGCAAATTTTAAATCATATCTCTTTTTCTTGTTTCGTGACATGTATATATTATATATGAAAAGCAAACAGTACATTTAATATTGCATGACGGCTAAATTTCGAACAATGCAGCAAAACTAAACAAATAAACTACAAATTTTCGAAAAATAATCTTCAAAACTATATTTTTCTGGTTTTATATTCATAGTTAAATTATTTCTTTCCAAAAACGATCTTGATTTTCATTCATTTTTAATATTTATTTATACTTTAAACTTTGTCGTACAATATTTTTTTCCAGCCATGTTTTGTTTTATTCCCTTCTCTTGTATGCATGTTATGATGATAAATACCAAGTTGCTGTAAGGGTAGGAAAAGAAAGAAAGAAAGAAAAAAAGAAACGAAAATAAAATCAACAATGTTTTTTTTTTTATAAAGAAGAATTTTTTTCTGTTACTTCAGTGTTAAAAAACGACGTGCATAAAGGAGAACAAATACAACCAAAAAAAACAAGAATGCTGATTTTTATTAGGAAGTCTTTTTTCTACGGCATGCTTTTATTTTCTTTTAGATGAATCCATTTTCGACGTATCGTTTTATAAATGCTGAAGAAATAATTAAAGCCAATATCCGTCCTAATCACGTATGTATCACTCTATAAATAGTGTATAATAACAAAAACAATTTTGCAATGAGAACTGTTTTTGTTTTTTACAGATTCCTGAAGATATTAAAGGTTTATTGGATACATTACTCCCTGTGACATATATAACTAAATCAGATTTACAAAGAGCAACAAGTCTTCATACAAATGTTATACAAAAACTTGATTCAAAAGTATATTTTGATGTCTATCATTGATGTAAATATTGTTTATTTTTATTTCTTTTTTTGTTATTAGTTACATACATTGAAATTATTGCAATACTTTGGTTATAAATTGGATCAAAAAGGTAATTATACTTATCAACCAACCGATTCACATGGTGAAATAACACATCGTCAAAATGCCACTAATGAATTTAAACGATTTTATAATGATTTGAAAAGAATTAAGGAAGGAACTTTTGATGGCTTTACACAGTACATTAAAGTAAAGCTGCTTTTTTTTTTTATCGATATCATAAGTCTGAATGTGAATGTTTTTTTTTCTCTAATTCAGAATTCCAGCGACCGTCCATCATCAGCTTCTTCTGAACGTGGTGCATGTAAGCACTTTTTTTTTAAAGACATTTGAAAATAAAAAAAATATCATACATTTTTTAGATGAAGAGCAACCGAGGTGAGCCTCTTTCTTTTAATGTTTTATTTGTTTATGAAAAACTCCTTTTTTTTTCTTCCTACTGCAGTAGACCATTCAATTCAAGTTCACATGTAAGTGTATTATTTAAAATTATATAATGAATAAAGTACTTTCTTCCAGTTTCGTTCACAATCACCACCATTACCGAATTCTTCGGCAGTTAAAGAAGGCAATGAAAAAACATCGGAAAAAATAAAATCTTTTAAGGTTAAAAATAATTTTTCACTTTAATTACATAGATAATATTATGTTATTATCTTTAGGAAAGCATTGTACCAAGACATGGTGGACGACCTGCACATAATTTTATCCGCCGGAAATTATTACTTTTTTTATACAAACAGAAATATCCTCAATCAATTGAGTTTGGTGATGAATTAATTGACGACGAAATCGATCGACTTGTACGTGAATTAAAACAAAAAGATGAAAGTCACGATCGATCTTCTGGTGATGAAGTTTATTTTGAATGTTTAATTCGTACAAATTTCGACAAGGAAGCTGCAGTTAACATACTACGTCATAATCGACCGAATTTAGTATGTTTCATAATTAATATTTGCTTGAAAATTAGTTTTTTTTTTATCTTAAAGAAACCACCTCCTCAACCCGAAGCTTCACGAGAACCAACTACAACAACAATTGCTCGTAGTATACGACCTTTACAACAACAATGGGGATTACTAAATGCAGATGCAGAAGAAAATGCAGCTCCTCAAATGTTATTACATGAAGGCGATGTAAGAATTAACCATTTTCATAGAAAAGGACGGGGGGCGATTTCTACAGAAATCGGCCCAATTGAATTTTAATGATTTGCTCGGGTAGAAACAAAGGAAATGATGGTAGAAAGTATACCTTATGGTTTTCAAATGATTTTGC